GGAATCAAAGATTACTTGTGGTTTTTTTGTTTGTTTGAAGGTTGAAGTTTGGACAGTGGTGTGAATGGTTACTTTAGACAGTGGTGTCACCAACAGAGGTGGAATATATAACAGGTACAAGAATGTAATATGTAGTGAGGCATAGTGGGTGCTGAGGATGAGATAATAATTCAGTCTGGAGACCTATGAGACATCCATGTGGAAGTATCCAACACAGAGATGAATAATGAAGACAAAAGGGTAAGGGCTGGGGTTAAAGATATATGGGGGTCATTAGCATCAGGGTGTAGCTAAACCCATGATATTGGATAAAATCCTCTTACATATAGAAACCATCATATTCATCCTTAGTCCCCTGCAGAGAGCTTTGCACAATGTATATGCTCAATAAAAGTGTGTCAATGAAATAGCTAAAAACAGATCCAGAATTAGTTGTATCCTTTATTTAAATTAAAATTGCTTCAGTGGTTATCGAAGTAATGCTAATTCAGGTTTTCTCAAATCAGAGTCTCAAATACAGGGTCTGTACATTTTTTTCACGTGAAATACAACCAGTTTCATACACAAATAATTACAAATTCATCATTCTCATAGATGTAATATGGAAGCAGAACAAAATTCTAAGACTCATAATTTCATTGATTAAAAAGCAGTATTGTTGGTTATCTTACTGGAGAAAAAAATTCTACTATCCACAGGATCACTTCTACCTTCATTCATTTAAAAACACAAAAAACTGGCTGGGCACAGTGGCTCATGTCTGTAATCCCAGCACTTTGGGAGGCTGAGGCCAGTGGATCATGAGGTCAAGTGATCAAGACCATCCCGGCCAATATGGTAAAACTCCATCTCTACCAAAAATACAAAAACTAGTCAGGCATGGTGGCGTGCACCTGTAGTCCCAGCTACTTGGGAAGTTGAGGCAGGAGAATTGCTTGAACCCGGGAGGCAGAGGTTGCAGTGAGTCGAGATTGTGCCACTACACTCCAGCCTGGCGACAGAGCAAGACTTCATCTCAAATTTAAAAAAAAAAAAAAACAAAAAAACACCTTACTGAGGACCTACTCTGTTCATGGAACTTTGCTGAAATCCGTAAGGGATCTAAAAAGCATAAAAGTCCCTTCCTTAAAGGAAATTACAAAAGCAGGGTGGTGGCACATACACCAGACCAGAATTTAGTTCCAAGTTCCAGATTTAGCAATTTTATGACCTTGAGCAAGTTACTTAACCTCTACAACCTTTAGTTACTAAACTTCTAAAAAGAAAATAGTGAAAATGCATACCTCATAAAAGGCAATGAGATTTACATTTTGTAATACATGTAGAGTGTGTATTATAATACTCCATCAAAAGTGGTGGCCAGTATGATTACCATCATCATAAACTGATTGGGGAAGAAATACTCATAGAAATACTCATAGAAAAACCACTCAGTGAAGGATAGTCCAGAACATTATAAATGCCATTTAAGTGCTAAAGTGCTAGAAACGCAGACCCTTAGGAACCTGTTGAGAACAGTAGTAGTTACCACTGTGTTTTAACTTATTTAAACCAGACCAATAAACCTATGAGTGAATAGTATTATTCCCGTTTTCTAGATGAGAAAATTGACACCCAGGCAAGTCAAGTAACTTACCCAGGTTCACCCAGTCGAAAGTGGTGGAGCAGGAAATAAACTCAGGCTGTCCGGCTCCAGAGTCTGATGCCTAGCTGGCTCCTCAGGAAGAATCATGCATTTTTATTACTTACATTTTGAAAAGAAAAGAACTGAACTCTTTGAAAGTATTTGCCTTCAACTCAAAACTATTATACAAATACTATTCTACTCAGAATTGAAAGATTGTTTTAAAATATCTAAACAGGGCCAGGTGCGGTGGCTCACACCTGTAATCCCAACACTTTGGGAGGCCAAGGTGGGTGGATCACCTGAGGTCAAGAGTTCGAGACCAGCCTGGTCAACATGGTGAAACCCCGTCTCTACTAAAAATACAAAAAAATTAGCCAGGCATGGTGGCCCACACCTGCAGTCCCAGCTACTGGGGAGGCTGAGGCAGGAGAATCGCTCAAACCTGGGAGGCAGAGGTTGCAGTGAGCCGAGATCACGCCATTGCCCACCAACCTGGGTGACAAGAGGGAAACTCTCCATCCAAAAAAAAAAAAAAACCAAAAATCTAAACAGACAAGAAGAGAGACTTTTCTAGGTTTGCTCAGGTCCTATTTCACAGATTCTGATAACTGTGAAGGAAGAAAGATTTAATGCGTCGCACTGAACACTGTGTAAGACAAAATCACGGTGCATCGTGGACAGATGCACAAAATCACGGTGCATCCTGGACAGATGCACAAAATCCAAAGTGACTCAAAGTGTAGGGGTTTGGGCTTAAAGCTCTGAGGCATCTTTATGAAATAAAATGACTCCATTTACCAACTCTCATTTTCTACTGTTCATAAGCACTTCCTTAAGCTTAATTTAATATATACCCCTCTCAGATGCAGAGTTTTAG